TATTATTATTATTATTATCAAAATATTACTGTCCTGCTCAATATGGCAAGGACATAGAAAATATATCTTAGAATCGTTTGAAAATTCTTTTTGTCGGTTAGCTTAAACAATACCATAACATTTAACATTATCGAACAGTTAACAGTATTATTATTATTATTATTATTATTATTATCAACATTATCAATGCCAATGTCCTTGCCATATTGAGCAGGACAGTAATATTTTGTATTTACCACTTCATATCACATGCTTACCATTGCTCTCTTCCGAATTGTTAGAAAATTTTGAAGAATTGCTTGAATAGTTTCATTTCTTTTTCTGGTTTCCAACTCCCTTCATTATTTAAAGAGACTTCTGAATCATTGTAAATTTATCCCTTCACTAGAGATACATTCGCCATGTTTATATTCCGCAGGTTTTCTTTTTTAAGCAACGTCTTAATATCTGATCGAAACTGTCATTCTTCATTTCATTAATAATAAAGAAGGTTTGTCTTTGCCATTCTTTTTATGACAAAGCACTTCAATGTTTTACTGCATCAATATTTTTGTCAATATTTTATGACGTTAATAACGCGTTTTTTTGTTGATTAGCGACTGAAATAAGTGCGAAATTTAAAAAAAACTTTCACGAGTTGGAAATCATACAAAAACTGAAGCGAGAAAAGTTCGGCAAAAAGAACCTGTCAAAAGGCCAGCAATTCTAGACGATAAACCCTCCCCAATTATTTTTAGTCAGAGCTGAAGTAGGAACAATTTCGATACAAGTGGTTGTAGTGACGAAACGATTGTTTCTAAAAGTGCAGGTAGAACGTGAATGGCTACAGAAGTGATGTAAGGCTTCGTAATATTATTGCAGAAGAAAAAAAAGTAGAGATGAAAAGCATGGTAGGAGGGAGAGAATTTGGGGTTGCCAACTGTCAGCAGAACGAAAAATAAAAATAAAAAGATAAGCGGGGTGGTGGTGGGGATGATTTGGCTGACAGGTGCGAGAGGCGAGATACGAGTGGCAGTGCGTACATGTGAGGTTGGAAGATACGGGGAAGATGTGGCGATGAATGAGTTTAGCGCTGTAAGAAAAAAAAAAGAAGATTTGCAGTGAAAAAGAAAAACTTCAGTGTAAGGAGGATAAGATAAAATGCGAATAAACAAAATCAGAAAGAAAAAAAAAGGAAAGAAGGAAAATACACGAAGATACGGAAAATAAATATATGGCAATAAACGAAAGAAAAGGAATGAAAAATATTGAAAGAAATGAAAGAAGGGAAAACACGGGTGAAAAAAAAGAAGATATATTGAGAAATGAGGATAGAAGAAAAAAAGATGGGGGGATAAAAAGGGCGAAAATCAAATAAAAAAATGAAAGGGAGAAATTGAAAACGGAAGGAAGGGAGGAAGAAAAGAAAAGATGTAAACAGAAAGTAAAGAAGGAAGGAAAGAAAAAGAAGGTAAAGAAAAAATTGGAGAAAGGAGGATAGATAGAGAGATAGAAAAAAATGAGGCAAATGAAAGTATCAAAGAAAATATTGGCAGAAATTAAAAATGAAAGAAAGAAAAAGAATAAAGGCAAAAAGAAAGAGAAAAATGAAAGTAGATTATTTTGACGTCCTCGAAAGAACCATTTAGAATCGGAGGCTTTATAAAAAGCTGAATTCTTATTAGGTTTCTTCTCACAACTCCCCCTCCTACAATCTTACTTTTTCCCTTTTCTCTCTCTCCCCTCTATCTCTTTATTTCTCTCTCTGTGTATATGTCTGTATACATATATATACATACATACATATATATATATATATATATATATATATATATATATATATATATATATATATATATATATATATATATATATATATATAATGCTTACTTGGAAAGTATTGCATATTCCATTTTTTGCCCTATGTGTTTTTTTTTCAATTCAACATTATGTTTTATTTGACATTTTTCCTTGAAGAGAATCGAGTGAAGATAAGAGGGAAAGGAAGCTGTTCGGGAAAATGGTGAAGTTGATGAGGTTTTGCCATGCACATCTTTATTTTATCATGGATTTTTTTTCCAGTTTTAAGCTTCTCACCGCAAATGTAGCCTTTGGAAGGGTTTCATAATTACTAATAACTTTCTACACCGCCATACCCTAACAATCCATCATATTCTCTCCCTCTCTCTCTCTTTCGATCTCTCTCTCTCTCTCTCCCTCTTCCCTCCTTCTGTCTATTTTCCACGTTCCTACATACAACAAGTCTACCTGGAAGTTGTTTGAGTTTGTCAAGAGTTTTTTTTTTCTCTCTTTACCAAATTCTGGGTTGGTGATGATATCTGTTTAAAAACAAAAAAAATCTTCCTCTTTCAGAATAAAAGAATTTTGAATGCAAAGTCAATAAAAAAGAATTTTGTTTCAATTCAGAATTTATTTATGAAATGAAGATATAATGAAAGTGTTGATCTCGATCCTTCAATTTATTTCTTTCTTCTCGATTCAGAAATCCAAAGAAAGTGATGAATAAATAAATGAAATTTTCTAAGTTTAATAAAATAGAAACAGGGATAACAACTGAAACATGTGTAGAAATAGTGTCGGATTATGAAAAATCCATTGCATACATACATACATACATACATGCATACATACATACATACATATATATACAGTGCTGTTTGATAAAAGTAACTCACCTTATCCTTTGAATTTAGCTCAACTTTCGTTTA